GCAGGAACCTGCCACATTTCTTTTTTAGTATAACTTAATAGCTTAATTACCATTTTATTTTTTATACTTCTTGTTCCATTATTAATCTTTAAATCATGACCCTAATCAGCTGTCCTTACTTTAACATGATCTAATTATTGCTTCCTTTCTTATTACTTTCCTAATTTGTTTATTCTGTATTAAAGAAAACTACAGTTTCAATGATAAAAGGAAAATGTTTTGATTTATAGTACCAAGTGCTTAAAAACAAGGATAGTGTCTGATTTTCAAGTGACTTTCCTTTTTGCATTTTTTGGCGGTAAAAGCCAAATGTTGTATTTGTTCTTTTCAGAGTTGTCCAGCCCTTTTTTCCTTTGTCCAAAATGATTCTAAATAGAATCTAATAAACCAATGTAGCACCATTTTTTTCTAAATGAAGCCCCAAAAAAGAAAAGTGCCTTGCATCGTTTTTAAAAAACTTAAATCCTCATGACCTCTAAATTAGTATGTAGAACACTGAAAAGTTCTTAACATTTTTGTGTAATTTCCTTTCTTTTTAAACCATAAATTAGTTTAAACTGAAAGTATGAGACTGGAAGAAACATTAGTAAATCATTTGGAATATAGAATGTTTACTCTTCCCTTTTATGTTGTCTTAATGATTCTGTGAGATTGTTCCGGCTCAGACAGAAGCTTTTCTTTGGGGAAGGTGATTTGTGGGAGACTCTATTGTATTTTAAATTAGCATTTTAATCCATTCTTGACATTCAGTTAGTCCATATCTGCCCCATAATTTGCTTTAGTAAAGTCACTTTATGGATTTTTGGCTATGTTTTAGTTTGTGTGTATAAAAGTTCTAAGAAAACACTTTTGCTATTTTAAGTATGTAAGGGAAGAGAGGAGTGTTTTTAACTTTTTATAGTGGATGACTTTAGGGTAGCACAAACAAAACTCCTTTGTATCTAACTTTTCTCAATCCTCTCTTGAGGTGCTTTACTAATGGGAATGATTTCTCTATGTTCCCTTGGTACCAAGAGGTACTATGCAAAGTAACCTGTTACACCAAGTTACTTGCTTTGCTTTCCTCTCTATGATGTGATAATACAGTAAAAGTTTTCTTATCCAGCATAGTGGGAGAGTAGAGATTAACTAAAATTGTTAATTAAGAGTTAATTCCTATTGACCCAGGTGATATTCCTCTTCTGATTTCCCTCCCCTTCCCTTCTCTTATCTTACAACTGTGAAAACAGCATATTGTTAATCTCGTTGTCATCCAGTATTCTGCTTTGTGATTAGGTCCTTTGGTGTGCAATGGTCTAGTGGAGTCAAGATTTGCATTGGGTTTTCTAAAATTCCAGTTGATAAAAGTTCCAGATAACACAGCTTTCCTGTATATAGATCACTACTGGGCAGGTCAGCAAAGATCTCTTACAATGTAATAACAATCTGTGATATTTCATTTAGCAGAAACTCTGCTTAAAAGAATCTTCATAATAGTAAGTTTAGGTTTTAAAAACTTGTTTCATAAATATACATATATCCAATCTAGTAACCTGGCCAAAAGAACAGATTTTGTTATTGATAATTTATAGCTGGTAATTTTCCACTTTTTCTATCCACTGTAACTTTTATGTTGTCACTAAAGTGCCTGCCCAGTACTGTATATTAGTCTCTCACAAACACTGGGAAAAGGGACTCTCATCATCTTGAGTACTCTAGATATATATATATATTTTTTTTTTTTTTCCTTGAGACAGAATCTCTCATGTCACCCAGGCTGGATTGCAGTGGCGCAATCTTGGCTCACTGCAACCTCCACCTCCCAGGTTCAAGTGATTCTCCTGCCTCAGCCTCCCGAGTAGCTGGGATTTCAGTCGCATGCCACCATGCCTGGCTAATTTTTGTAGTTTTAGTAGAGATGGGGTTTCACCATTTTGGCCAGGCTGGTCTCAAATTCCTGACCTCAAGTGATCCACCCACCTTGGCCTCCCAAAGTGCTGGGATCATAAGCTTGAGCCACTGCGTCCGGCTGAGTACAATATTAATGTAGACAAACCACGAAGTTTATTTTTTCATGTAAGAACATTACAAGTTTGTTTTTTCTTACATCTGTCCACCTAATGTTCTCAAGTAGTTCTGGTAGCTCTTCCTATTCTTTATTCTATTTGATTCCATTTCTGTGATTCCTTTATTACCATTGATGTTTTGTGATAGTTAACTATGATAAATTTAATCATGATTTATTTTCTAGAGTATTTAAAGTGGGAGTGATCACCCAATTCCAACATTAAAAGTGTAATCTGGGCCCATAATTTATAGTGAAATTGTTATCAAAACATAGGGAAACTGTATTACTGTTCATTTTGAAAATATGAAACTTGAGTATTGAAAGTATTCAAACCTGGAATGGCAGTATTCTAATTTCAGTTAATTGGTTCATGTTAATTTCTTACCTATTAGATGTTTAAACAGCAGTGTCCTTTGTTTACTTGTATCTACTCTATGGTGGAAATGTTAAACCATGATAGCTTTTGCTACCAGCTCAACCACTTAACTTTTAGAACAGTTGTGGGGAGATTTTATGCTTCATCTGAGTTTAGAAGTAATGTCAGAAAATGTTAAGCATGTCCGTATTAAGAAAATATAAGGTTTCTAATTGTCTTATTAATATGGTCATTCAAGTGAATTAGAAATATTTAACTGCAATCTTGAATTATAAAGTTGAGATATATGTATCTCTCTCAAGATCTCAACTTGATGTAAAGTAAATGAGCAGTTACCTGGCGGATTTTTTTTTTAATAACTGATTTAATCCATAATCTCATAACAAACATAGCTTCACCTCAGTATTTTCTTTCTTTCTTCGTTCAACAGTGCTCCAATAAGGGAATGCTAGAAAATAGGTGAGAAGTACTGAAAGACCTTTTTTTTTTTTTTAATTATTGATTAGAAAAGGTCTCTAGGGTCTTCGAATGCTGGAATTTTTTTTTTTTTTTTGTCTTTCCCATCTGTGGCAGCTAAAACAAAAATCACTCAAAATATTCAGGTTTACATGTTAGCTCTCTCTCATAGGGAGTTGCCATACCTCACAGTTCAAAGTGTATTCTATAGATCAGTAACATTATACTGACATGTAATTGCAGTTTACTATGCAGCAAAAATGATTCAAGAAGAAAAATAACCTACAGTGTCTATATACCTTTGTATACACAATTGCTTAAGTTACTCTGCTTTTAACATTTGTACTTGGATAAAATGCTTATGTCTGTATAGGAATGTCACAGTGCAAGATGCTGCTAGCCCAGGCACAAAGTATTAAAATTATTTTGTGAAGATTGGTGGTTGTATTAAAACTGCTGTGCCATTATACCTCCAAAATATTGAAAAGCTCATTCATACTGCTGCTTATGCCTCAAAACTTCTTTACTTAGATTGTTATCTACTGGGTAAAAGTAACCCAAATTTACTCCGAGTTAAGAGTGGATGAACATTGAATGTTGAGAAGCACTTAAGAGTATACTCTAAAACACTGTGGTTACACACACACAAAAAATTATGGTCTGTACTCCAGGCAAGCCTCAAATTCCACCTCAAGTTTATTTTTAAGGATTTGTTGAGCAAGTTTGGAGTTGGAAGTGAGAGAATCATGTTTAAAGGAAAGGGTAGGTCATCCATAGAACAGCTTTAAGTCATTACGAAAAGAAAAATACTTCTTGCTTTTATAGTACTATCTTCCTCCATTAGGCCTACCTGCATACTGTGCTTCATCAAATCTAAGATCACCTCACAACTATACCATTATTTTAGGCACCACTAAAAGGCAATGTATGGCTAACAAAACTATGACAAACCATTGATAATATATCCAGATTTCAGATATGTTATAGTACATCTTAGTTGATGAAACAAAAATACACAAAACATGAGACAGTAAAAATGACAACTACCACTTCATTATACCTTTTCACAAGCAAATAGTGCTCAAAAATGTGAACAGCCAGACACGGTAGCCCACACATGTAATCCCAGATACTCTGGAGACTGAGGCAGAGGATCACTTGAGCCCAGGAGTTTGAGACCAGCTTGGGAAATATAGTGAGACCTCACAGAAAAAATTAAAGCCAGGTGTTATGGCACACACCTGTAGTTCCAGCTACTGGGGAAGTTGACGCAGGAGGGATGGCTTGAACCCAGGAACTGGAGGATGCAGTGAGTTGTGATCACACCACTGGACTCTGTTGGGGGCCGCACTGGGGGTGGTGGAGAATGAAAGAACACACACAAAGACAAAGACACACAGAGAACATGGCGGCCGCACTCAGAGTCTCCGCCTCACTTTATTTATACTCCATAAACCTCAGGTCAGCAGAAAGAATGCAATGCAAAACAAACTTTCTTTTCCCACATGTAACCTTCTACTCAGTACCTTGTTTCTATATTCTTTTTTATCTACCCGCCTTCTTGGCGCCTACGGGAGTTCATTAAAAGTTCAGTTGGAGATACTGTCCTTGAGCCCTATCTATTCTCAGCATACTGTTTTCAAAGGCCCCTGCAGGACTCCAGCCTGGGTGATGGAGTGGGACACTGTCTCTTTAAAAAATGTGGGCCAGGTGCAGTGGCTCAGACCTGTCATCTTAGCACTTTGGGAGGCTGAGGCGGGAGGATCACTTGGGCCTAGGAGTTAGAGACCAGCCTGGGTAGCAGAGAAAGACTCCATCTCTACAAAAAAAATTTTTTTAATTAGCTGGGTGTGGTGGCATGCACCTGTAGTCCCAGCTACATGGGAGGTTGAGGTGGAAGGATCACTTGAGCCCAGGAGATTGAGGCGGCAGTGTATGGTGATTGTGCCCTTGCACTCCAGCCTGGGAAACAGAGCGAGTCCTTGTCGCAAAAAAAAAAAAAAAAAAAAAAAGGCTATTGTGAGTATACTGCCTGTGGGGTAGTGCTGCTCCACAAGGAGCAGTTTAAAAAAAAAAAAAAAGTTTAAGAAGTGTTTTATGTAGCATTTTTTCATATTTACATTTACTCACCATATGGCTTCAAAAATCATAAACATACTCAACTAAAACTACAGATCACCATTGTCCTCAATGACACAATTTTTGTATGGTGTACCTTACCTGTAATTGTATTTACTATGGGAAGATTTAAGAGGTATCTTAGGAACACTATTTAAAGGGATTTACTGAAGTGCCAACCTTGTGAATGATTTTACCTCAAATTGTTCAGTGGTAAGAAAGGTAAAAAAGCATTTAGTTTTACCTTTAACTAGGCTAATTTTTTGGTTTTTTTTTGAGACAGAGTCTCGCTCTGTCGCCAGGCTGGAGTGCAGTGGTGTGATCTCGGCTCACAGCAACATTCGCCTCCTGGGTTCAAGCGATTCTCTCACCTCAGCCTCCTGGGTAGCTGGGATTACAGGCGCATGCCACCACGCCCGGCTAATTTTTCTTTTTTTAGTAGAGACAGGGTTCTACCATGTTGGTCAGGCAGGTCTCAAACTCCTGACCTTGTGATCCGCCCGCCTCAGCCTCCCAAAGTGCTGGAATTACAGGTGTGAGCCACTGTGCCCGGCCTAGGCTAATTTTTAACATGGGTTTTAATTACCAGAATTTACCTGATAAAACAAACTACCCTTTGCCAAGGTTGTAGGACTTCTGAAAAGACAAATGACTTTGTTGCGTTTCACAAAGGACAGATCAGTTCGTCTGTATAGGCCATAAGCAGGTAAGTAGTGCACTCTTGGTGAAGGATTTCTGTTGTTTTGGAAAGCCAACTATAGCTGGCTGCATGGAGGGAAATCCAAAATCCAGATGACGTGGCGTGAGTCAGTGGGGTGAGAAACACTGGTATTTTCTTTGCAAGTTCGTTTTACAAAGAGCACATAAAACTAAACTTTTATGAATTATGATGTAATCTAATAGTTCAATAGCAGACTCAAGAAAAGCACAGATGTGATTCTAACAGAAGACTACTCATATGAACAGGTTTAATGTAACATGGAATGCAAAAGATTAGAACCATTAAAGTATTTAATTCTTCAACTTTAAAAAATTTAAATAAATAAAACAGGATAATGACCAGAATAGTGCCATTATAATCACATTAAAAAGTAAAGCTTCCATCAACATTTTATGAATTTGGCAAATCTAGTACAATACATTTTTAAGTATTGTGTTTCACTCAATTTTGTGATGCTCCATTTTTGAAAAAACTTAGGAGAGAGGCTTCAGATACCCATGGAAAAAAAAAATCGGTAGAAACACATATGCTGAGGTTTACTAATTCACTGTTTAAAAAGGACCTTAGATGTCCCACTATAATTGCTCTTAGGCGTTTTTAACAAATGAGTAGTTATAATTCACAGAAAAGACCAGTGGTACTTTTCAATCTACATAGACTGTACTATATAAACTTTTAGTAAAATATATAAATTGTTTTAATCTTGTCAAATAATTTTCATTTCCTCTACTTCTTTAAAAGGCTGACCAGGTTGTTTGCCTGTATTGAGATCAATGAATGTTGGACTATATACTATGTTTAGTTATAATAACTAATTTATCCACCCTGACTTAATATGTGGGAAACAATACACCCCAAGTGTATTGAGATGTTTCTTTGAAACAAAAATATTTAATTTTATGCATGTGATAAGAAACAGCCTTATTCAATGAATACTTTTTTAACTGAGCAACACAGATAGCAGACATATAACTCCTTATTACCCATACTCAAGAAATGAAGCCAAACTTTTAGAAAAATACAATGCAAGAAAAGATTCAAGTTAAAAATATATTCCTTTGGTTAAAAATCATCCCCTTTATAATATTCATCTGTAATCTAAATTCACAGCATGTCCCACCAGCCCAAAGTAATCTTCTAAATGTCATTATACTTGTAGTATTACAATGTTTTTTCAGTCCGGTATTTATGGAGGTCACTCGGCTGCAGCAACAAAATGTTTCAACTCTAGGAAGAGTACCATTGTAGCATTAGCCCCTTTGACAATTTTCTTAAAAGATTTTTACTTTAGAAACCTCCGACACATGTAGTTTTCTTCAGATACAGTATATCCAAACTTTTTATAGAAACCAACATTTTGTGGTAGACATTCAAGGGTAATCTTGTAACAGTTCAGTTTCTTGCTTAGCAAAGTAAGGGTTGATAATAACCTGAAATTTAAAAAGGGGGGAGGGTGAGGAGATAGCATTTATTAATAAAAATTGATTCTAGTAACAATATGAATTAATGTTATAAAACGTCTGTAATCCCAGCACTTTGGGAGGCTGAGGCGGGCGGATCACGAGGTCAGGAGATCGAGACCACGATGAAACCCCGTCTCTACTAAAAAAAAATACAAAAAAAAAAAAAACTTAAGTTTCCTTAGAAACAGGTTTAGATTATGGCTTTTCCCATTGCATTCATGTAAGTAGATAAGCATTTTAATCACCAAAGCATTTTTACTTAGAGTCAAATATACTTTTATCTAGTAATCTCCAGCTCACTAATAAATAGGACAAATACTAAACTCACCCTAAGCCCTCTTTAAAAATGAAATTTAAAGCCAGGTGCAGTGACTCATACCTGTAATAGCACTCTGGGAAGCCAAGGCAGGCGATTGCTAGAGCCCAGAGGTTTGACACCAGCCTGGACAACATGGCAAAACCCCATCTCTACAAAAAATATAAAAATTAGTAGGCATGATGGCACACGCCTAAAGTCCCAGCTACTCCAGAGGCTGAGGGGGAAGACCACCTGAGCCCAGAGATGTCAAGGCTGTGGTAAGTAGTGATTGCGCCACTGCACTCCAGCCTGGGCAACACAGTGAGTCTCTATCTCAAAAAAGAAAAAGAAAAAGAAAAAAAAAAACGAATTGTAAGATGTATGTTAACACTAAAAGCCTTTTTAAAAAAATGACCAAAAATTTTTTGTAAGAGTTCTTTGTTTAAATCTATTTAAACAACTTGGGAGCAGTCAACATTCCCACATAAAATGAGTACATAATAGTTTGCTCTTTAATCATTTTTAAAGCTGCTTTAATATTTGTGAAGGTGTGTATCAGATTAACTCAAGATTGGTCTAATTAATATGAAGTGGAAGCAAAGCAAGTCTACATCTATACAGAGTTTCTTAATGAATCCAAACCCATTATTAAAGTGTGGATCTAAGTGCTTTAGAGGATAAAAACTATAAAAGATATATAAACTTGAAAGGTTTGCCCATGTTTGAACAGACTAAAAAATCTTATTTTTTTAAAAAAACAAAAGATCTTGATTGAAGTATGACTGGCTGGTTGCAGTGGCTCATGCCTGTAATCCCAGCACTTTAGGAGGCCAAGGATCACTTGAATCCAGAAGTTGGAGACTAGCCTAGGCAACATAGCAAAACCCTGTCTCTACAAAAAATTAGCTGGATGCAGTGGTGTGCACCTGTAGTCCCAGCTACTTGGGAGGCTGAGATGAGAGGCTCACTTGAGCCCCAAGAATTCAAGGCTGCAGTGAGCTGTGATCGTACCACTGCACTCCAGCCTGGGCAACAGAAAGAGACCCCATCTATTTAAAAAAAAAAAAAAAAAAAAAAAAAAAAAGTATAAAATTAAATGGACTAGAACACAAGAAATTGGTCTGTTTTGTTCACTGAAGTATTCCAAATACCTAGAATAGCATCTGATACATAAACAGGTATTTAATATTTGTTAATTCCTTAAAACTCAGAAGAGTTAATGTTAAAAAGCAAGTTCCTGGGGCAGGCACAGTGGCTCCCACCTGTAATCCCAGCACTTTGGGAGGCCAAGGCAGGAGGACTGTTTGAGACCAGTCTGAGCAACATGATGAGGCCCCACCTCTACAAATTTTTAAAAATTAGCCAGGTGTGGCATGTACGTGTAGTCCCAGCTAATTGGGGGGCTGAAGAGGATTGCTTGAACCCAGGAGGCTGAGGATGCAGTGAGCTGAGATTGAGCCACTGCACCTCGGCCTGGGTGACAGAGCCGTCAAAAACAGACCCTGTCTCAAAAACTAAAAATTATAAGATGCAAGTTCGTATATAAGGGCAATAAATCAATACCACTTATTTATATTTATTTTAAATGATTTAGATAAACATATAGGGGATTATACAGTGAAGGGTGTTTCGGCATTTCTACAACTTATGAGAAGGAGAGATCACAGAATAGTCCGTAATAGTTGAACATTTCCTTTGTTTTTAAATATGACAGAGAAGCTGAGGCAAATCTGATTAGCCCAAAAGTTTCTCTCCTACTAGTATGAGAGTATTACTTTGAAAAGTTAATAATTTAAAGATGTTACTGTCTGTAAAGAAGTATGCTTCCAATTTTCAAACTTTAAGGCAAAATATGTATCATAATACTTTATTCTTCATGAAATCCAGTCTAAACTATTGGAGTGAGTTCAAAATTAATGAAGCCAAAAAGAACTTCAAGCAAGTATCTTGGTAAGAAACTAAATTGGAACAAAATTTATCCAGGGTTACCTTGTTTCTGCCTACTTACAATTTGCCAAGCTGCTTTCCTCTGCATTCATCACTAACAACAACATCTTCTACTCTTCCTCTCTGAAAATATTTACAATGTTTAAAGGAGTAAGCATTTACTTTTGTTTTTAGCTAAAACGAGTAAGAATTTACTGATAATAAGAAGTATATTTTGTAAACTTGAACTTCACAGAAACCAAATGCAAAAAATATTATACAGTGAAGGCTGTTTCAGTATGTATTTCTACAACTTACGAGAAAGAGATCATAGAATATTCTGTAATAGTTGAACATTTCCTTTGTTTTTAAATACGACAGAGAAGCTGGGGCAAATCTGATTAGCCCAAAAGTTTGTTTCCTACTAGTATGAGAGTACTACTATTAAAAGTTAATAATTTAAAGATGTTTTTACTTATTAGAGGAAATAGTATGAGTCAACTTGTGACCTAAACTTGTTTTGGCTGTATCCCCAACCTTCCCACCCCGTTGTCTTTACACAAATATTAGGATGTTGATCAACATCACCAAAATGTAACCTTTTCATGAATATATCCATCATTCTACTCCTTGCTTGCTAGAAAGTTTAGATATCCAAATAAAATTAATGTCTAGTACAGAAACCCCACCGAAATTCTTAAGTGTCACAGAACACATCCCAAGTGTTCCTACCTTATTCTCACTGAATTACTTAAGGTTTTCTCTTTTTTAATTTACTGTTTTATGTGAGTTATTCAGGGATGAAAGGGCACTACATGCATTAGATGTATCATAATTCGAACAGAATAATAATCTGAACCCTTTATCATGTGGAAACAAATTTGTGCTCATGTAGTATATTCTAAGTATTGTTTTTTTAAGAGTAACATTAGGGATTTTGTGCATTACTGCTAAATTGTTTGGTGTCTCTATGGCTATACCAAATTGATCCACCTTACAGAACAATTTTAGCATACAGTTCATACTGTTAATACATTTTCTTTCTTAAAGCTCTCAGAACACACTGGGAAAAGGGATTTCTAAGAAGCACTAAAAACCAGTGAGAAAATAGATTTGTCTAATGGAAACTCAAAGGCAGTTGTGCTAGAAAATACCTGTCCATTTTACTTATAAGCAGCACATACCTTAGCACAGGAATGGATGAATTTATGTTCTATAATCAGAGTTGCTGTAGCAACAATCTGTCCTAGAGTCACATCTTCTACAACTGTAACATAATAATCCCCAGATTTCTTCATATGCTCAAAAGATTCTGTGGAAATTGGACAACAAAGTGTTACACAGTAGACATTCAATTTTATGGGGAGCCAGAAAAATACTAGGATTAGCTGACTTAATTACTAAATGTTTAAAGCTATTTTACCATAGTAATTTACCTTCCATTTCTAAAGAAAATATTACCAAGTAGTTGAAATATCAGCAATTAGTATCAATTGGAATATAACCTACACATTCAAAATATCTGCTAGCAAAATAAAGACTAATATAGCTATTTTAGATGAACAACACTTAAAATACAAGTAAATGGCTGATATTGCCACTTCCATGACTAATGAAAACTTCAGTTTCTTCATTTACTTTAAATAGATCTCTTTAACTTTTATACTCAATAGATATTCAAATATAACAAACCTGTGCACATTTTCATGTTTACGTGGCTCAATTCTAGAATTTTTAGTCTTTTGGTTTCAATATATTTTTACAAAATAGATTTTAATTTTCCCGTTGTGATGGAAAGTGTTTCGTGATAACATGACTTGCTCTTGTTTGCTTTGAGAGCACCTTGCAAGGAGGTAAAACATATCTGTTTTCCAAGTAACGTTTCCAAGGCACATAGCAAATAGGTGCAAAGATACTTCCCCTCATATGGACTGTCAGTACTATTGCTGAAATAACATGGTTTCTCATCTAATTGATGTGCACACAAAGAAAAATTCAGGAATAAAAACTGAGGCTAATAGTCTCTCATATTGTTAATTTCTATGGTCTCATTCCAGACAGATCTAAAATGGGAAAAAGAAAGAAATTCAATGAATGAAAATAAAAATGAGAATCAGAATGATGGTCCTCATTCTCAGGAGGGTCAAACAAAGTTCAATACAAAATTACCTATTATAAGGAAATGAAGAATTGTAATTCCTCAGCTATTAAATATTACTAAATATTTAGTAATGATAATAATACTTCATTTCCTTTATAACAGGAAAAGCAGTGGTAGAGCACTGAACAGAATTAAGGTTTTATTCCTCACTGTAGCAATAACTACCTGTGATCTTGGGCAAGTCTTTGGATCTCTCTAAATTCCCATTTTCTCATATGTCTAAAAGAAGGGGGACCGGGTGGGTGGACTAACTCTTTTAAGATACCTGCTAACCTTAAGCTTCAATACAGATAAACCCCAAAATAAATTTAAAGCGTATGGTCTTAACTTTGATTTGGTAATGAAATTTATGTAAATATAACCACAGTAAAGGAAATACTACAATAAAAAATGAAAAACCTCTAGAGTTAACACCTAGGTCCTATGGTACAGTAATTATCTAATAAAGTAGTCAGATAGTTTGCAAAACAAAGTTACTGGTACATTTGGATTCTAGAACAACTCAGCCACATTAATTTAAGAAAACAGCTAATTTGTTCTTTGAATAATTTCCAGCTATTTGAACAAAAACAGAAGTGGGCATTAAACAGCTCTAAACAAAAATAAAATCATGTTTCCTTTTATTTCAGGAAAAAGAGATTATAGTACTTACTCATAAATTGTTCAGGGCTGACAACTCCAGTCTCTGTTAGCTGACCCAATACCTTAAAAAAACCTAGTTTTGAAAAACAGATTTCAAATTACGAGATGAGCAAAAGGAAGACAGTATGAAAGTAAGCAATATATTAAGCAGGTGGGCTTATGGGCAATTATTTTTTCAGAACTTTCTATAATCTTTTAATTATTAGAATATAAAGTGAACCCTATTCTTCTATAATTACTATATATAACAAAAATAATAACAGGTTTTACCAGTGCTTCTGCCTGCATAAGATATTTTAAATAGTGCTGACCTTAATATCCAGTGTTTATAGACCCAGAACATACATTCTTCAATGTATTATATTTTACATTAAGTTCAATGTAAAGGGTGCCAAATTTTCCCAAATATGTGATTTGGTTTTACTTAAAGGTACAATATGGCCAAGTACAATATGGCCAAATATAATATTTGCAAATTAAAGTGTAAGTAACACTGTCAAGATTACACACTCTTTAAAATTGTAATTTCTAGGGAATTTCGTTAGTGTTACCTGAAATTAATGTGAAACTGCACCTGGAATTCTGAAAATCTTAACTTTTCTACACTCAATAATTAATTAGGCCAAAATTAGACCCTTCAGGCTATCTAGCAAAGAGATAATTGTGAAAAGTACAAAGTTGACTTTTAATTACCAAAGTTTAAGGAAGTTAACTTGGAGAATTTACATGTTAAAAAAAGAAATAAATGTACAAAAACCCTTTCAACTTATCCAAGGAAAATTATTTCCACCTTCATTCCCCAACCAGCTTAAGATTCCTCCTTATGTGTCATTATACATGATAATTTAATTTTTGTTCATGATAAATCTTTTTGGCTTAATTAGGAAGGAGTGATGTCATATTTAACTCATTTTAAATATTTCACAGTAATATTTGGTCTTAGCCATGACACACACTCATTGGTATCGATTGTCCATCACTTTAAAAACTAAGTATTATACAAAAAAGTCCAAAAGTCAAATATTTTTTAAAAATTATCTGCATCATAATGTTTATAGAGAAAAATGGAAAGCTGACTCTAATTTTATACAAGATTGTGTACATTACCTCTATTTAAGTCAGCGGTACAAAGAGGCCTCAAAACCAAGCCTTCTCCAGGATGTGTTGGGGAAATGGCTGGAGAAAATGTAGCTGTATTCTGACTCCAGTCCACTTCTTTGAGTAGACTTGGGTCAAACATAGGAGTTTCATCAGGTTTCATCTTTCTAGTAAGGTCTAAAATAAAAATGTAAATATTAAGTCATTTTATTTAATAAAAGGAAAATTATGATTGTTGAGAAAGTTAATATAAATTAATGCAATTAGAAGCATTCTTTAGCAGATATGCGAGATATTTTACTGCAACCTATCCTGAATCTAACATTAAATTCCACAACTACAGATAAATAGAAAAATCATGCCTACTATCAGATAAAAAATGGCTAAATGACTAAATTAGTAAGTTTTAAACTATAAAATGCCATTTATTATCAGGTCTTTTTTTTTTTTTTTTTTTTTTTGACAGAGTCTTACTCTGTTGCCCAGGCTGGAGTGCAGTGGCATGATCCCGGCTTACTGCAACCTCCGCCTTCTCGGTTCAAGTGATTCTCCTCCTTCAGCCTCCAGAGTATCTGTGATTATAGGCATGTGACACCACGCCTGGCTAATTTTTTGTATTTTTAGTAGAGACGGGATTTTGCCATGTTAGCCAGGCTGGTCTGGAACTTCGGACCTCAGGTGATCTTCCCGCCTTGGCCTCCCAAAGTGTTGGGATTACAGGCATGAGCCACCGCCCCCGGCTATTATCAGGTCTTATATAGCTGACTTTTCATGGGCTCTTACATTTTTTACATTATGTTCTTGGATTTTATTATTGACCCAAGACGTCATCTGCTTCAACAGGAAATTGCAAGGGGAAAAAATTTTTTTTAAAAAAGAAGTAATCTCTCAGTCTTACTTGCCAAAAAAGAAAACTTTCAGCAATGCATGGTGGCTCATGCCTGTAATCCCAGCACTTTGGGAGGCAGAGGTGGACGGATCACCTGAGGTCGGGAGTTCGAGACCAGGCTGACCAACATGGGGAAACCCTGCCTCTACTAAAAATACAAAAATCAGATGGGTGTGGTGGCGCATACCTGTAATCCCAGCTACTCAGGAGGCTGAGGCAGGAGAATCGCTTGAACCTGGGAGGCAGAGGTTGCGGTGAGCTGAGATAGTGCCTTTCCACTCCAACCTGGGCAATAAGTGAAATTCCCTCTCAAAGAAAAAGAAAACTTATTGGGCATGTAGTTTTTTTTTTTTTTTTAAGACAGAGTTTCACTCTCCCAAAGTGCTGGGATTACAGGCATGAGCCACCGCACATGGCTGAAAGTTTTCTTTATTGGCAAGTAAGACTCTAAGAGATTACCTTTTTTAAAAAATTTTTTTTTCCCCTTGCAATTTCCTGTTGAAACAGATGACTTCTTGGCTCAATAATAAAATCCAAGAACATAATATAAAAAATTTAAGAGCTACCATGTGAGCCACCATGCCTGGCCACATGTAGCTTTTTGTTTTGTTTTGTTTTAAATGAACTATGAATAGAAGATAATTGATGAACAGGCTCAAATTAATTATTTTTGGCATTCTCAGAAATACTTTACCTTGGCTATGATAGATATATACACTGAAGGATTTCGTTTTCACAGCCGATTTTCTAAAAATCTGTAGTGTGGGCCAGGCATGGTGGCTCACACCTGTAATCCCAGCACTTTGGGAGGCGGGGACAGGAAGATCACCAGAGGTTGAGACCAGCCTGACCAACATGGCAAAACCCTATCTCTACTAAAAATAAAAAATTAGCCAGGTGTGGTGGCAGCCACCTGTAATCCCAGCTACTTGGGAGGCTGAGGCAAGAGAATCGCTTGAACCCGGGAGGTGGAGGTTGCAGTGAGCCGAGATCACACCATTGCATTCCAGCTTGGGCAACAAGAGTGAAACTCTATCTCAAAAAAATTAAATTAAATTAAAATTAAAATGTATAGTGTAAGTTTCTCAGTTGCATCTAAGCAGCTTAAAAATAGCCGGTGTGAGGCCGGGCGCGGTGGCTCAAGCCTATAATCCCAGCACTTTGGGAGGCTGAGACGGGCGGATCACGAGGTCAGGAGATCGAGGCCATCCTGGCTAACCCGGTGAAACCCCGTCTCTACCAAAAAAATACAAAAAATTAGCCGGGCGCGGTGGCGGGCGCCTGTAGTCCCAGCTACTTGGGAGGCTTAGGCAGGAGAATGGCCTAAACCCGGGAGGCGGAGCTTGCAGTGAGCTGAGATCCGGCCACTGCACTCCAGCCTGGGCGACAGAGCGAGACTCCGTCTCAAAAAAAAAAATAAAAAAAATAGCCGGTGTTTTTCATGCTATTGAAAAGTGATCATGATATTTCCCCCTCTTTTTTGAACATTTAGAAATGAGCAGGTTCTCACTCGTTGTAGTGTTTTAAAACTGAGACTAAATAGTAGAGAAGTAATGATAGGAAGGAGGAAAAACAAATCATATAAAGCATAAAACTGGGGCCAGGGGGCTTCTGTGCAGCACAGAATTGCTGAAACAGATGCTTCCCAACAATTAAAAGTTGAGTATTCCTTATCCAAAATGCTTGGAACCAGAAATGTTTCAGATTTTGGATTTTTTTTTTTTTTCCAGATTTGGGGATATTTGCATATATATAATGAGATATCTTGGGGATGGGACCCAAGTCAAAACAAAATTCATCTGTGTTTCATATACACCTTATACGGAAAGCCCAAATATTTTACACAATATTTTAAATAATTTTGTGCATGGAAAACTTTTGGTACATGAAATCAGATGTGGAATTTTCCACTTGTGGCATCATGTTGGCCCTCAATAAAGTTTCAAATTTTGGAGTGTTGGATTTTTGGATTAGAGATCCAAAAAAAGCAGTCCCCAACTTATTTCTATATCCAGTTAAAGAAACCATATTTTAATGAGAGAACAATTTGCCCAATAACCTAACTCCCAATTGTTCCTTATGTATAAGTCACAGTATGCTTTAGGGCTAATATTCTTAACTTTTCCTTAAACTAATAAGTTTCTGCCTGTGTAATCCTATGTAACTATATAAGCAGTGCTACAATATAGTAGTTATGGGAAGGTAGTGTGATGTGATGTAACAACAGAAGTTAACACTTGCTCAGCACTTCCTATGTGCCAGACTATTGAAAGAGCTTTACTAATTCATTTATTTCAACCATCCTACAGGTTAGGTGTGGTTATTATCTACAGTTTAACAGATGAGAAAATGTTAAGTAACTTGCCCAAGGTCACAAAATTAGTGAAGCCAGGATTTAAGCCTAGGCATAGAAAGAGCATGAGCTTTGGATTCAGACCTGGTGTTCAAATGTCAACTGTGTGATGCGTACTAAGGTAATTAAGCTCTTAGAATGTAGTTTCCTCATTTGTAAAATGGAGATGAAATTACTGGGAGAATTAAATGTATGACTGTATGCAATCAAGCACTTAGCAATACCTGGAATACAGCAAGTACTCAATAAGATACATGCTAGTTAGCAATAAATTTAAAATTCAAGTTTATAAATTCTTGTTCATTTTTTTCACCTTTATTTTAATTCATGAATCAGGCACTATGCTGGTTACAGGGACTGCAAAAAGAATGACAGGCTGTTATGTTTATGTTATACCAAAAGTTAGCATTCTTGGATAGAAAAGAATAACGTAGTTTATAATGTAGACTGCTGAGAGGTCCCCCCGGCCGCGCACACACACACACACACACACGGATTCAAATTATGCTGTACACACTATACCTAGTTCTAACAATATTAAGGAAAATACAGAAATTGTGATGATCAAGCAGTCATTTCAAATTTAACAAGTTTAATATCCATTCAAAATAGGTTTTCTGTTTTGCTTTATTCTGTTTTGAGACAGGGTTTCACTCTGTTCCCCAGGATGGAGTGCAGTGGTGCAATCATAGCTCACTGCAGCCTCGAACTCCTGGGCTCAAGTGATCTTCCTACCTCAGCTTCCCACATCAGCCTCCCGAGTAGCTGGGACTACAGGCTTATACCACGCCTGGCTAATTTTTGTATTTTTAGTAGAGTTGGGGCTTTGCCATGTTGGAAAGGCTGGTCTTGAACTCCTGACCTCAAGTGATCCTCCAGCCTCAGCCTCCCAAAGTTCTGGAATTACAAGCATGAACCAGCATGCTCAGCCAAAACAAGTTTTTAATAGATGAATTTGAATCCATGTGTTTTAGTGTTTTGTCTAAATTGGATCCTTGAGGTTTGTGTGTGTACTCTCATCTGAAAGGTAGGTAGCAACATTGTTTTTCAGCTATGTAGATAAACAGGCTAAGTATTTATTAATAAAGTGAAATGTGTACAGTATTAAAAATGTAAATTCCTCAAGGCAGCACACTATTTAAACATTTTGGTCACGCTATTAAACATAGTTGTAAATACAAAGTTCAAAGAAAACTCAAAAGAGAATTTAAATCAACCTTAACCACATTTAACTAGATTCCTTTTTCCTATAAAGTCTGTGTTTACAATAAAAATGTGGTCTAGAAAACATGAAAAATAGGGTTAATAATTTTCATGAGAGGGAAGAAGTGTACAGGAAAACAACTAGGATTATGAAGCCCTTAACTAATGAGTTTTAACCAGGAAATACTAATATGTTCTTGTACTTTAGAGACAGTCTTATTCCATGAATGATCATAAAAAAAAAAAATTGGCTAGCACTTAATGAAAACTTTCTGTATGTTAACTCTTAAAAATACAATGAACGATGTATCATTATCCCAATTTTACAGATAAGGAAGCAGGCACAGTAACTTGCTCAAGGTTACAGTGCCAATAAGGAACAGAGTGAGGATTCAAAATGAGGCAACAGGGCCAGCTTCAGAAGCCCCTGACCTGTGCCATTACAGAGGGCACACTGCACTTAGTTTAATACCCTGCTGCCACTGTTTTGAAATTTTTAATTTTTTAACAAAGAACTCTGCATTTTAATTTGGATTACTACAGATTACGTAGCCAGTCCTGCTAGGTAGTATGACTTCCGACTCTGCTCTTAACCATTACACTGAAGATGCACTAGAGTAGATATATTCCCTACCTTATTATTGTACAAGGGGTTAAAAATTAAGTCATAAGCAGCACTTAGAACCTACATTTGGAAAATGGGAATCAGACTAGTCAAAATACATTAAACAAAGCATTCCAGATTGAAATAAGAATCTATTAACCAGGCAATCAGAAATTAAGATCAAAAATGTTTTTATGGGCTCTTCTACAAAACAGAGCCATACTGAAGGCCCACTTTAGCTCACTCTGTCCTCAAACGGTAAAATTCTGCTGGTGCCCAACTAATGTACTGGGCAAGGTGAAGCAAGATATGACTTGAAACCCAGTTCCAAAGGGTTTTAGAACATAATTAAATAAGTAACTTTATATAAATAATCTTTTAGCATCTTCAGGTGCCCAGATACTGCAAAACTGGGAAATTTCTGCAAATAAAATTGCACAGTTGCATGAAGCGCAATCTCGTATCATTAGGATCTTTAAAGTTTTTAGATTAACTTTAAAAAGTATAGTAAACACTAACCCTCCTTAAGTATTCCTCAGAACCTTTTCTGATTAACTGCTAAATTAGTGAGCGTTTAGAAGACCCGTTTAAGCCTAACCCTAGCCCAATAATGCCTAGTGAATGAATAACTAGTAAGACTTACTTGTAGGTCACATTTCAGAAAATCCAAAAGGACAAAAAAAAAAAATTCCCAAACTGCCACAATACCGCAGAAAGCATACACCAAATTCATTTTTACTAGTCATCACCTCAATTGAATATTTTTTCACTCAACTGAATATTTTTAAACAAAATTTCAACTATTTGGCTTCTGAGCCTCGGTATCAGATTGGAATACGAATTGGGGAGAGAGGCTGCTGCTAGAAGCAACCAATTGAGAGCAACAAGTAATAGACACCGGAGATGAAGATTTTAAAAGTCGATCTACAAATTTTAAAAACATAATCTGAGGCCAAATCTAAACCACCCTATGTATTTCTCAAGAGCTCCTGGGGCACCTTCTAAGTACAGGTGAATAGGGGAGGGGCGGACTTCGGATTCCTCTATATTCATTTTATAACAATTTCCATAACAAGAATCCATTCTGAATCTATTTCGTTAATGATTTTTAACACACCTGGCCATGTTTATTAAATTGTGTAACTGCATGAATTTTCAAAAGTATTTTCTGATAGTTTATTTGACCTTTACAATCTAGGTGTTATTCCCAGTCTACAGATGAGGAAGCTGGAGCACTTGGAACTCCCAAGACTTGCTCCTTAGGTAACATAGCATATAAGTGACCTGGGGCTAGAATCCTCTTGTTTTCGCATCTTGACCTCGATTACCATCCTCAGCAGACCCCAATCTTCACATCATCCCTACCATACAGCTAGCGCGCTCTCCCCTATTTGGCAAATCCTGCCTAAATTAATTTCTTGAGATCCATTCTAGGATTCGTTCATGAGGGATTATCCTAACAAAACGAATCGTATAATCGTCCGTTCAATTTTGTATGAAAATTTTAAATTAGTTTGGCTTACATAAACATCAGTTCCTACAACAGAAATCACAGTACACCACTCGGTGTTTCTAGAGGTAGGAGCCTAGGAAAAAGAGACAAAGGATGTCCCTCTGTACCGTGGGGAAAGCGCCGACCTAGTCGGTGCGGAGGTGGTCTTCGGAGCAGCTGCCTCAGTGGCTCCCGACCACCGTGGGATGCGCCCGGGAATAGGAGAAGAGAAGGGGCCTGGGATGTTCGTGCCCATTCAAAATCGATGGCTGCAGAGAGCGCGACCAACTGTCTCATTTCCCACGCCAAAGTCTGGGAAGCGAAGTTCCGACCCCAGTCTCAGTTCTAGTCCTGCCAGGCCAAGACCCTCGTAGGACCCGACCGCTGGCCATCATCCTTAACCTCTGCTCCAGGCGCGCGTGCCTTCAACTTCCTGGGACCCGCGCTCCACACCATGTGCACCCAGCTGGCGAGGATTAACGCCCGGCTCCTCCACAACACCCCCGGGGGCCTCGCCGGGGCACCAGTCACACCTGTTAGATAAACCTGAAGGCAGGCCCGCCCCAGCCCCCAGGACACACGGTCCAGCTCTCGAGCCCCGGCCCCGGTCTCTCCTCACCCGTAGAGGCCCCGCGATCGGCGCTCCTTGCCAGGCGCGTCGGACTCTCCCCCACCAGGGTGCACAGCACCGGATCCGGATCCGGCTTCAGCGCCAGCCCCACCTCCTCCTCCACCGCCCGCGCCACAGTCGGGAACCGCGGCCGAGACGTGGCAGCGCCAACGCCTCCACCCCGCCTCTACCCCCTCACGCAGGGCCGCGCGCAGGCGGGCGGAGGCGGAGACGGAGGCGCGGGCCGAGGCGCCACCCGCCCAGGCCCAAAGAGCGAGGGGCGGGGCCCGGAGAGCGGGGGCGGGACCAAGAGGACGAGGGGCGGGGCCTGAGGTTCGTGTCGGCGCCCGGGGCGGTGGCCGCCGGACCAAAGCTGGGCTCTCCCGGTTCCTCCTCCTCCCTCCACAAGGCCTTTCCCACCGCGTCATTGTCTCGGTTTATCTGCGTACGTCTACCTAGCAGTCAGCCCAGCAGCGTAAGTGGTGACCAATGTGGGCCTCTTTGATCCTGAGACTCGACCACTGGCCCTCTCCATTTGTCCCTTGTTGCCCTCCCTTCATGATTCAATCCATTAATTAGGACTTTTCCTACCAACTGGCAGCTCAGAGCTCCGCATCCCCAGGCCTCTGAGTCACAGTTCCTGCCTTCGTGAAACTAGGAGTTGGGGCCACTGCATTCTACTCCTTCGGGACTATTGTTTCAGTTCTCAGTCCCTCAAACCCTTTATTGGATGAACATGGAGTTCATGTTCATCCAATAAAAACTGCAACAGTTTTGCCGCCCAGGAGACATTTGGCAATGTATGAATCATTTTCAGCCTCTCATGTGGGAGAGAGGTGCCATTGGAATCTCCAGATGGTGGAGGGCACAGGTGAGTAGAGGCCGGGAATACTGCCAAATGCCTTACAATGCGCAGGACAGCGCCGCACAACAAAGAATTACCTGGCCTGAAATGTCTGGAGTGCTGAGGTTTAGAAACCTTTCTTTAGAAGAAAAGTGACTTTCTTCAGAGCCCCATTTCTGAAGTGTCTTACCTAAGTAGCACTTTGTCCCTATTTTAACAGATAAGGAAACAGAGGTTCAGAGATGTTACATAATTTACTAGTCTCGTAGCTAGTAGCTCCCCTTCCTTGCCTTGTACCATAATTTTCGATTTATTTAAATCGCAAAGTATTTTATTCTTAAGCAATAGTATTCAAAGAACCCCATAGATCGTATACCAGAAATTATATTTTTTGCTCATTTATGAGATTTAAATTTCAGTTAACTCCTTTACTGATTTATGCTTTCTCAGAACTTCAAACATCAGTGAGCTGATGGCATCCACGTCTCTGTTTTTATCTCTGTTTTTACACCCATACATACAAAAGAATATATAGAGCATGAACAGGATGTGGTGGTGTGCATCCATAGTCTCAGCTACTCCAGAGGCTGAGGCAGGAGGATCACTTGAGCCCACGAGGTTGAATGCAGCCTGGACAATAGAGCAAGACCCTGTCTCTAAAAAAAAAAAAAAAAAAAAGAATATGTAAGGCATAAATAAAAATAAATACTCATGGTTGGGCGTGGTGGCTTACACCTGTAATTCCAACATTTTGGGAGGCCTAGGCAAGTGGATCTTGAGCTTGAGTCCAGGAGTTTGAGACCAGCCTGTGCAACATGGCAAAAACCTGTCTCTACAAAAAAATACTGAAAATTAGGCAGGCATGGTGGCATGTGCCTGTAGTCCCATCTACTCAGGAGGCTGAGGTAGGAGGATAACCTGAGCTTGGGAGGTAGAGGCTGCTGTGAGCCGTGATTGCATCACTGCACTCCAGTCTGGGCCACAGAGCAAGACCCTGTCTCAAAACAATAATTTAAAAAAATACTTATGTACACACCACTAATCTTAAGCATATGGCCCTCCCCGTTTTTCTTATCAGATTTCTGGTCAAATGTTTTCAGTGATTTTCTCCTGTACAACAAACTGCTGTACGTTTTATAAATTAGCAAAAAGTGAAATGTAAGCAATTATATAAAATCACGGAACACAAGACTTGTAAGAGGTACCCCCAGAGATCTCATACATTCCAGATATCCTCCTCCTTACCCACATTGGGCCATAAGAACCCAATTTCTCATTAATAGACAAGGTCGATCACTCTGGCCAGTACAGTTAACCCCTTTATTTGCCTGTAGGTATGTTCACTCAGCAATGAGGAGCCCAAGATAACCAGCAGACAGTTTCAACTTCTGGTTTAATGGAACCATTGGTATGTCCTTTGGTGATTTTTATTTATTTTTCTAGATTCTTGGAAGAAATGCTGCATTCACCAATATTCTTTTTTTTTTTTTTTTTTTTTTTTTTTTTTTGAGAGGGAGTCTTACTTTGTAGCCCAGGCTGGAGTGCAGTGGCATGATCTCAGCTCACTGCAACCTCCACCTCCTGGGCTCCGATTAAGCAATTCTCCTGCCTCAGCCTCTTGAGTAGCTGGGATTACAGGTACGAGCCACCACACCCAACTAATTTTTGTATTTTCAGTAGAGATGGGGTTTCACCATGTTGGCCAGGCTGGTCTTGAATTCCTGACCTTGTGATCCGCCCACCTCAGCCTCCCAAAGTGTTGAGATTACAGGTGTGAGCCACCACGTCCAACCAACAACAATGTCCTCATCGGCACAGATAAGGCTATTATGTGGAAAAACATGGATGTCAGTGATTCAGTTGAGAAATGATTCAGGAATGTTGGCCTGAACGAGAAGTTTAAGAATACCTTGGCCAGGCACAGTGGCTGACGCCTGTAATCCCAGCACTTTGGGAGGCTGAGGCAGGCGATCATGAGGTCAGAATTTCAAGACCAGCCTGGCCAACATAGTGAAACCCTGTCTCAGAAAAATACAAAAATTAGCCGGTGTGGTGGCACACACCTGTAGTCCCAGCTACTCGGGAGGCAGAGACAGGAGAATCACTTGAACCCGGGAGACAGAGATTGCAGTGAGCCGAGCTTGTGCCCATTGATCTCCAGCCTGGGTGACAGAGCGAGACTCCATCCCCCTCAAAAAAAGAATAACCAATTTATTTCATTTATATTTTCCTCTTAATGTTTGCACAGGAATTAGATATAACAATCCATGTCTAATTAAGTATAAAAGAGTTGTTTCACTAGGTATTACAAGTTCCAAGTGATAAGATATTATAGTTTTAAATTAGCCACACTGTTTCTTTCTTAGTGGTATATAAATTAATGGTGTGTCATACAATGGATGTGTCTAAGACTGGATGAAATATGGTACAGGCCGGGCACAGTGGCTCACGCCTGTAATTCCAGCACTTTGGGAGGCTGAGGTGGGCAGATCACGAGGTCAAGAGATTGAGACCATCCTGGCCAACATGGTGAAACCCCATCTCTACTAAAAATACAAAAATTAGCTGGGCGTAGTGGTGCACGCCTGTAGTCCCAGCTACTCAGGAGGCTGAGGCAGGAGAATCACTGGAACTCGGGAGGTGGAGGTTTCAGTGAGCCAAGATCACACCACTGCACTCCAGCCTGGCAACAGAGCGAGACTCCATCTCAAAAAAAAAAAAAAAAAAAAAAAAGGTAATATGGTACATACTTAATATGGTCTTAAAGTTATAATTCTCTGTTATTGTTTCAATGTCCCCTCCAAAACTCACATTTAGATTTAATTGCCGTGGTACAGTATTAAGAGGGGGAGGCCCTTAAGGGGTGATTAGGTCATGAGTGCTCTTCCCTCACATAATATGGATTAATGCTGTTACCATGGAGTGGGTTCCTGATAAAAAGGATGAGTTCAGTCCTCCCTCTCTTGCTTTCTCTTACACCACTCCTTCCATGTGATGCCTTCAGCCATGGGATGACCCTCAACAGACCCTGGTACCATGCTCTTGCACTTCCCAGCCTCCAGAACTGTGAGCCAAATACACTTCTTTTTATTATGAATTACCCAGTCTTGGGTATTCTATTACAGTAGCAGAAAACAGGCTAAGACATTCTCTAAACATGTTTATAAATTATTTCATTTGATCCTCATATGAATCCTGTGACATAAAGTGGGCACTATTATTTCCATAATGCAAGTGAAACTCAAGCAATTTTCCTTTTCTTTTTGAAACAAGGTCTCACTCTGTTGCCCAGGCTGGAGTATGGCTGCACAATCTCAGCTCACTGCAACCTCTGCCTTCTGGGCTCAAGCAATCCTCCCGCTTCAGCCTCCTGAGTAACTGGGACTACAGGCGTGCACCACCACACCCAGCTAATTTTTTTGTATCTTTATTAAAGATGAGGTTTCACCACATTGCTCAGGCTAGTCTCGAACTCATGACTAGTCATGAGTTCAAGCCATCATGTGCCCACCTCAGCCTCCCAAATTGCTGGTATGACAGGCATGAGCCACTGTACCCAGCTGTACTTTTTCTTTTTTTTATGAGCGAAGCTGTGTGTCTGTTCTCATGCTGCTAATAAAGACACACCTGAGACTGGGTAATTTATAAAGAAAAAGAGGTGCTCATGCCTGTAATCCCAGCACTCTGGGAGCCAGGGCAGGTAGATTACTTGAGGTCAGGAGTTCAGGACCAGCCTAGCCAACACGGTGAAACCCATCTCTACTAAAAAAATACAAAAATTTGCCAGGACTGGTGGTGGCGGGAGGCTGAGACAGGAGAATTGCTTGAACTTGGGAGACCAAAGTTTCAGTGAGTCGGGATCATGCCATTGCACTCCAGCCTGGGTGACAAGAGTGAAATTCCATCAAGAAAAAAAAAAAAAAGCTGGGATCATGCCATTGCACTCCAGCCTGGGCAACAAGAGTGAAATTTCGTCCAAAAAAAAGAGAGAGAGAGAGAGAGAGGTTTAATGGACTCCTAGTTCCACATGACTAGACAGGCCTCACAATCATGGCAGAAGGCAAAGAAGGAGCAAAGTCATGTCTTACATGGCAGCAGGCAAGAGGGCATGTGCAGGGGAACTCCCCTGTATAAAACCATCAGATTGACTAGGCATGGTGGCTCATGCCTGTAATCCCAGCACTTTGGGAGGCTGAGGTGGGCGAATCACTTGAGTTCAGGAGTTCGAGACCAGCCTGGCCGACATGGAGAAACCCTGTCTCTACTAAAACTACAAAAATTAGCCAGGTGTGGTGGTGGGCGCCTGTAATCCCAGCGACTCAGGAGGCTGAGGCAGGAGAATCACTCGAACCCAGGAGGTGGAGGTTGTAGTGAGCCGAGATCACGCCACTATTCCCCGGCATGGGCAACGCAGTGA